AAAGTAATGGCCTTAAACAATGCATGCTTTGCAAAAATGAATATCTTGCTCAGTATTTTTGACTTGTTTTCCAATACAAACATCTAAACATCCTTAAATCAAGATATGTTCACTTGAGAAGGAAAGTAGTACAGACGTGAATACTGATTTCTTAGAAATGTAACAAAATTAAATGCGTATATGCTTAAAATGAACATCTATCAGTGGGGTATGAAAACAGTTGTCTCTTTTGAAAAGGTACTTTTTCTGACCCCACTGGCAGATGTTTGTTTTAATCATAATCTCATTTCATTTTGATGAATTTCTTTGTGTCCCCTTACATTTATTCCTTAAATTGTGTTTACTTGGTCTTTAAAAGGCTTAAATTTACTTTCAATACCTGCAGAAACCCTGTAAATACTGGTTAAGCTATAGAGCAAAATGCCTCCCTTTATCGTTCCATAAATGCGTATCTTTGTCTGCACTGGATATTATTTGTATATAGCTTAGTTTAGAGTTGCAAGCATTTACATTTAAGTGCAAGGCTGACGTTTTTGTTGGCGTCATCATTTTCATATAAATCCAAGCCGGGTTTTCAAGCAGCTAATGCAAACATATTTGATTTTTGATGCACGTTTCAGTGGAGCCTTTGAAGATCCGGCAGGACCTTAGAGACGCGTGTTCATATGGGATAGAAGCGCTTTCTATGGAACCGGCTGATGAGATGAATAGTGACAGTGCTGGTGAGAGTGTGATGTAATTTCTGATCATCACTCTCCCTCTATTTCCCCTTTACTCGGTCTCTGTGTCCTCCTCCTCTTCTTTTCAGCCCCAGATGGCAATCAGTCATGTCCTCCGTCACCTCGACATTTTCAATCAGCGGTTCGAGCGTCTCTGTGGGGATGGAATAGAATTTGCCCAACACGCCGGAAAGAGCGATGCATTGACTCATTAATGATATGACATGCTGTAATGTCAAAAGGCACCGAGCAGATTTCACTTTCACTTCAGATAAAGAGCAAAACAGCTGTTGTAATTGCTCTACCTTTGAAAATTATTTCCTGACCGATGCGTGTCTGTATGCGCAGCACGGTGTTCCTCTAAAATCCCCTCTGTTGGTTGATTGTGATTGGGTAATAATACAGACAGATGGGGCCGCTGGGAGTTTTTGCTGGTATATTTAAGCATTTGGCGCTGGCTGTGCACTGGGCGTAATTGACTATTGTGCTTGTGAGCTTTAGGACGGGCTGCGAGATGTACGGCAGGCAGATGGAGTCCGCCGCTGGAATCGAGGAACTGACGGACGAGGAGAAGGAAATTATCAACAGCGTGCTGGCGAGAGCCAAGATGATGGAGGCCATGGAGCAAGAGAGGATTGGGTGAGACGTTGACTTGAAGTCGTGTTTTTGTTCTGCTCCCGAAGGAAATCTCTAAGTCAAGTCTCCTTTATTTCGGTTGCGCTTTATACAATACAGATTGTTTCGATGCAGATTCATAGTAATAAACAGGAAAATTAACAGAATCAATAATGCAAACTTCCAATATAAGAAATTCAAATTCTGATGTTGGCTAAAGTAGCTCTAAAAAGACAAAGTGTCATTTTTTTAGTTCAAGTTAGTTGATACAGTTCAGTTCAATAACAGTGTCAATGTTGCAAAATCCATCCATTAAGAAACAAATTCAGTTCAGCTAAATAGCAGCTCTACAGAAGACAACATTGTCATTATTCAGCTCAATTTACACCTAGACTCAAAGACACCTGTGAGATTAAAAGATAAATCCACTTCTGGATTAAAAATTTCCTGATAATTTACTCACCCCCATGTCAGCCTAGATGTTCATGTATGTCTTTCTTCAGTCGCGAAGAAATTAAGCTTGCTTTTTTTTTTTTTTTTTTAAGGGAAAACATTCCAGGATTTTTTCCCATATAGTGGACTTCAATGGTGGCCAACGATTTCAAGGTCAAAAATGCAGTTTCAATGCAGCTTCAAAGGGCTCTAAACAATCCCAGCCAAGGAATAAGGGTCTTATCTAGCGAAACGATCGGTCATTTTCTTACAAAAAATTATATTTATACACTTTTTAACCACAAATGCTTAGCTAGCATTAGCTCTGCGATGTAAAGTGGTTTTTAAACATCGGTCGGCTTTAGTTTTTTGGCTCTAGTCGGATGCCGTAAGCCATTTTCAGCCAATTCTGCATGTCAAATTGGTGGTGGAGCTTGACAACGAGGAAGAGAACTCCGATTGGCTAGTCAGCTTAGCGAATGAGCGCATGAGAAATACTGAACTGACGAAAGCAAACCAATGACGGAGTAAAATGGGAACGCACAGACATTCCCTGCGTTCCATACAGAAGGGCTCATCCCTATGCCCCAATCCCTTCAAAGGGTTTACCCTCCGGAGTGAGAGCTTTGAAGGGTTGAAGGGTGAAGGGGACCAGACAACTGTTCCTTGAAGTGCCCTTCTGCGTCATCATCATGTGCCCACACGGAGGCGCCGTCATCATGCAAAGAATCTGCGCAAAGGATCATGGGAGTGTCCATCAGTGGTACCCTTCGAAATCCTTCTTTCCGAAGGGCCCTTTGAAGTGGCCAGTTTTGAGCACTTCGGTTTGGAACGACCCTTCAATATGGCGGCCATGACTGTTTTCACTCCGAAGTGCCCTTCGGAGGGCGATATATCCCATTTGGAACGCACCGATTGTTGTCATTCTATCCATTTGTTTCTTTCTTTATCTACAAGATGACGACCAATGCCAATGACTATTGCCACCTGCTGGAATGGAGAGTTATGCTCTCTCACGTAAGCGCACAGCACACACGCTAGTTGGCCGTCAGGTAGTCAGGTGCAGGTGTAGTTGCCCCGACGCGGGTGATGTGAAGCATTGCGAGGTGATGCCACAATCGGCTTTCCTCAGCGCTAGTTCCTTGGCGTCAGTTTGTTGTGTCCCTACCCTAATGTCTCAAACTGTGCTCAGATTTCCCAAGATTTCGAAAGTCTGAGATCTCAGTGTGAACATTTCTCATCGGATTCTTCTCAGATCGAAATATCTATCCTCCTATTCATTTTGTAGCTTTATACTCCTACTGTGTTAATTATTGACTAATTTGTGCCTATTTTTATTTCTCCCAAGAAATATTAGGAATACAGAGACAACTTAGATTTTTGTTAGGTAAAGTAAATCATAATGGAAAACTCCATTAGGTCTCTTTAGATAGAAAAAGAGCCATGTTTATGCAATGATATTTTCCTCTGCCAGTAGGAAAGAAAATTAAGCACAAATTAGACGTCTTTATTGTCTCTTTAGTGACTTTCCTCTTTCTTAGCATTTGTTTTACGCTATCCATGATTTTTTTTAAACCTCCCTCTCCTTAATAATTGTCTCATTTGTGTCCATTTTTATTCCTTTATAAGGCGATTTAAGGGAAACATCTGAGATGAAGTTGATACTTTTGGTAAAGGAAATCATAATAGAGAACTCCACTGAGTCTGTTAATGTCTGTGCAATTAAATATTCCTTAGTCTCCAAGATAAATTGTCCCAAATATCTGTTTTAAAGAGTAACACGATCAAACAGAGACCGAATGTCTGAAGCCTGAAGCTTCTTGCTTGTTTGGTTTTGTTGTCCACATGATTTATTTTTCCTTCCGTAATCCTATTGTATGTCAACAATTGTATCATTTTTGTTCCTCATATGGAATTTTAGAAGAAACACCTGGAAAGTTTATATCATAAGATGGGGTTTGAAAAACAATTCATATTCAGAAATGATACACTGACACAATCAGATGAGAACAAAATTTTAACTGAATTGAGCTGAATAATGACACTAACTTTGCAACGTCTGCAGTTATTGAACTGAATTGATTAAACATTGAACTAAATAGAGTTGAATAATGACCTCTGCAGAGCTGCTTTACAGCTAAAATTGACTTTAATTTAATCATTACTGAATTTGATAACATTAATACCGTTAGTTCCCTGTTTATTAATGCAAACTCTGCTTTTGAAAATCTGTATTATATAAATAAATGTGACTTGAAACTTGAAGCAAAAATAATGACTTTTCCCGAACACTGTCTGCCACTGGGTAACCAAACAGGTTTTTATACAAATTATCCGCAGGGTCACAAGCTGTCACATTATCGCACACAGGACTGGACTTTTGTAGCAAAGGCAATATTGACCAACACCTGAGACCCCAAAAGCATCGGTTCAGTTTCCTCTCATTCCGCAGAGCAATTCGGCCCAAGCACATCTGTCCAAGTGATTGAGAAGACGGGTGTGCTTAAGCTTTTTTACAAGCCAAGAGTCAGCCGAGGAATGTACTGCAAGAAATGAATAGTGCTAACTAGACAAGAACTGCCTTCCTTCTCATTCTCTCTCTCTCTTTCTCAGCACTTTGCTTGCAAAACGTCTTAACTCACAGTTCTTTACATCAATACATTACAATAACCACTTGGAGGAGGGGTGGAAGTGTGCTGACGTTATACATTGTCGTTTTTTTGTCCCGCAGGCGTCTGGTAAATCACCTGGACAGCATGAAGCGGACGGCCTGCGGTGACGGCGACTTGCGTTGTTTACTCTGCGGCCAGCAGTTCGGCCTGGCGGGCGTCAGCGCAGTCGTGTGTGCAGAGTGCAAAAAGGTGGACGCGCATTCGCCGAGCCTTTGACCTCATGCAATTATCTAATGCATGCAGAGCACGTCTTTCAATAACGATTGTCCAAAAATAAGCAAGCAGAAATGAATGAGCGATATGCACTTATCTTTATTATGCCCTGCCCATTACTGAGCCACGTGTGCATTTAAGAGGGATGCCAGTCTGCACAATCAAAAATAATGTCACGGAATGCATATGCTTGTCTTTTGTGACGCCTGACACAAAGATCAATAGATTGTTTATTGATCCCGGAGGGGATGTTTAGTCTGTGGGCTGTTTTTCAGCAGTGATGGAACTTAATGCCATCTGAGTGCGTTTACACCTGCGCAGCCTCCTGAGGCCTGTTTGTGTTTCACCCCCACAGAACATGTGCACTAAGTGTGGCGTTCAAAGCGTCAGTCGTTCCAGTCCAATATGGCTGTGCAAAATCTGCAGTGAGCACAAAGAGGTGAGATGCATTGAGGCATTGAATGTTGTTTTAGAGCAATGGCAATTCAGCCAAAACCTAAAATTGTCATAATTTTGCTGTTCTTTCCACACAAAGGGAGGATTTTTGAGCTCCTCTGTGAGGTCAGTGTGACCATGAATTTCAAGCTCCAAAAAGAACCATAAAAGCATCCGTAAAGTAGTCCATTCGACCTGTGTGCTAAAGTCCAAGTCTTCTGAAGTCAAAAGACAGCTTTGTAACAAATCTAAGTCATTTATTTATTTCTGCAGCTTAAATCTCTTAAATTGCCTTTAGACATGTTGTGTCAAGCTTGATGATGTCAATGCGGTATTTTAGATCATTTTGATTTACTATATTATAGTTTTTGTAAAAAATTTTAAATAGATTTTATTTTTGTTTCCACTTTTAAAGTTTAAGTTTTTGTAATTTTGTTGTGTTTTGTCATTTTTATTAGATTTAATATGTCTAGTATTTCTGAAATTTTTATTATTTGTTTATTATTTTGGCGTGTTTTGCCATTTTCTTTCTTTTTTAAATAACATTTTATTTATTAGTTTAAATTTCTTTACCTATTTTAGAACTTCAACTTAAGGAAAATGAGAAATGTTTCCTTGGCAATTTGCTGAAATAAAATGAGATTAATTTATTATTGTGTGTGTATACAAATGTATACATTTTGCCATCATTTACTTACCCTTCACTTCCCAAACCTATATTAGTTTTTCTTCTGTTGAACACAAAATAATATTTATAATATATTAAGTTATTTTGATGAATGTGGGTAACCAAACAGTTGACGGTAGCCATTGACTTCCATTGTGTTTTTTTTTTCATAATATGGAAGTCAATGGCTACCGTCAAATGTTATGTGGTAACCAACGTTCTTCTAAATATCATCTTTTGTGTTCAACACAGGATTGGAACAACTTGAGGGTGAGTAAACGATGACAATTTTAATTTTGGGGTGAACTATCTCTTTAACGTTTAATTTTTAAAATAAAAAAAATCATTTTAGTTTTTGTTTTATTTAACGATAATAACGCTGGTGTGTCGTACCCAAAAGTGGTGCACTGACTTGAATATACAAAATCAGAAGACTTGGAATAGAGCTCAAGTCCTATGGACTACTACTTTTTATCACTAGGAACTGTAATTTCATGGAAATAAGTTGCATAAACATAAAAAAATGACAGCATGTTGATTTGGAACAACATGAGAGTGAGTAAATAAAGACAGAATATTCCTGTTTAGGTGAATTATTCCTTAAATGTGATAATGAGGTAACTAACTGTATTGTGGATCCCTCATGTTAAAACATTTCAGGTTTATATTCAGTAAATGGTGTGCTTTCAAAAAGTGCTTGTTAATGTAAGTCTGCACTTACCTGGCATTGATGATGAGATCATTTGTTTTGGCAGCTGAGCAGTCAATGCTTATGCAGTGATGTGCATGTTTGATTAAAGAAATCCATTTCTACAACATTTTTAAATCAACTCCTAAAAAATGCTCTGCGTATAAATAATATTTAACTGGCTGCACAGAATAATTATTCTGCGTGTAGCTCAGAGATATAAATAGACAGGATAGTTCAGCACCTCTAACTTTCAAAGACACTTTGACTGTGATAAGATAATTCATCCTTTTGACGATGTAAGTCACGGTTAGTTTCCTTGTCAGACGGGGTCAGTAGCAGCAGGAGATGTGACTCTCTTTAATGCAACAAGATCATGAAGCCCGAATCCCATTTGAGTCGCTGACATTTTACTTCATAACACCAGGGCAGAACTGAGTTCCTGCATTTTCATATTCCAGCCATTCCAGCTCCCAGCTGATGCTTATGTGGATGGTAATTGGCTGAGATGAGATTCACAGGTGCTGTAAAAGAAAATGTAGAAACGTAGGTAATGCAGCATTGTAGCATGGGTTGTAGCATGGGTAGCATAAACAATCCATCCTATTTTTCCTAGTCTATGAATTCTAACTTATGTTGTTACATATATTTGATCTCCTAAGGTTCAATTGGGTTAGAAAATTGCTTAGGTTTTTTTTGTAACTTTAAAGTGTATCAAATTACTTGGAGCTTGGAAAGTGGAACAGCAAAAAGGCTGATTCCTAAATGAAATTTACATTTCCGCCTTTGGCTGTAGTCTGTTTTAGGCCAAAATTAGTTTAGCAGACTCTTACAATTCACTCACACAAGCAAGAGTTTGCTAAACTGAGCACAGATGTGTTATTAGTGGCGAATTAGAGTAAATTTGTGTGCTAAAACTACATCGAAGTTGCCAAATGATCATTTATTCTTTCCCAAAGATGCTGAAGCGGTCTGGTGCCTGGTTTTTCAAAGGTTTACCACAACAGATTTTACCCGCTCCTTTACCGATCTCTAATAATAGAGAGCTCAGAACCACCGGCGCACCAACTTCAACCAATCCACCAACCAATCAAGAGTCTTCAGTATCTTCACAGCCAAAAAATGGAGGTAAACTCTACAGTTTCCGTATTGCTTTGCATTGGAAAAATTCCTAATTACAAATTCTCAGTACCATGCAGTTTTTTAATGTATTCGCACTAGGCATGGATAATTTATTGTAAGGTTTTCATAATTCATGGTTCAAAGAAACTAAGCTATATTTCCATGCAGAGAGCATGCAGGTCACCGGCAGAGAGCAGCAGATATCTGGTAAGTGTCCTGCATCTCAATAACACTTAATATCGCTAGGAGGAAATGAGGCTTACGATTGTAGTATCATTTTCCCGTTTTCTCCCGTGCTCAGCAGAAACGATGCCCTCTAAACGGGACGAGCATTCGGTCATATCCCAAAGAGCCCTAGAAGCAGACAGAGGTAGACAGTCTATGAGCAGGAGCACAATTCAGTCCAACGCCGTTGTGGAAGGACAAACGTACTCACCTGTGGTGAAGAGAGAAGTACCGATGATGAGCTCCAACCCTCCAGCGTCGACCTTTTCCACGACTCCCATACAAAAAGGTGAGAGAACTCATGTAATATTCACATAGCATAAGCAGTAATGATTCGGGAATGGGAATATTATAAAAGTGTATGTGTCCTTCAATTGCACCGTGGTTCAGGGGCCTTGTTAATAAAATGCACATATGATTGGATTTGATCCTAAATTCCATGGATTTCATTCTATGTCAGAACTGAGGAGCAAATCGGTATTTATAAAGGCAATAACTAAAACCACTTTGGTTACAAGTTACAACACATCCGGGGTATTATTGTTAAAAATCTTAAAAAAAAAAAAGAAAAGAAAAAAATGTTACTTGAAATAAATGGAATAGTTCATGCAAAATGAAATGAAAATTCTGTCATTATATTATGAAAAAAAAAAAATGGAAATCAATGGCTACCATCAACTGTTGGTTACCAACATTCTTCAAAATATATATTAAATAATATATATTGTGTTCAGCAGAAGATATAAGTTCAGAATAAGTGGAGGGTGAGAAAATGATGACAGCATTTAATCACTAAAATTAATGCAGTATTTATAAAATATGATTTTCTTGGAAAAACAAGATAAAAAGGCAAAATTATATAAAATGATACAAAATTAAAAATATAGGCCTACATATAAAACACACACACACACACACACACACAGCTTTGTCTCTTAAAATGTCAAGATAAATGGACAATCACAATATGCAAATGAGCAACTGCTTTCCAATGTGAAATTAATTCATTAGGTGGAGTTGATGTGCTTGTTCACTTTGCGTTTACATTTAAGATGGACAGCGATTTATAAAGGAACTTTTTTTTTTGTGCACATTTCAGAAAGTGACTTACATTCACATTTAGGATCATTCTGTGGACATCTTTATAATTGGGGCCCCTGGGCTGGTAAACAAAATGTTGTAGGTTAGTACCCACAAGCTTTTGATTCGTCACCATTGTGCCCTTGATCAAGATGCTTAACCTCAGATTGCTCCAGTGGGACTGAACCTATAATAAGCACACTGCAGATTGCTTCGGTTAAAAGCATCAGCTAAATGACTTCTTACAGTTGGTTGATGCATCTGGAGTTATCGATCTGGATGCTTAACCCAGTGATTACTGTGTTTCCTTTCTTAATTGTTTTGACTATAACAATGTAGCAACTGCACAGATTTTGTCTCTTGGTACGAATTCCAGATCCTATGAGTCGACCGGAGGCCAGGGCACCACCTGCTATGCAGACCGACGCACGTTTGCCAGCTGCCAACAGCATTCCCGCTTCACGCCAGCCACCACCCCCCACCGCAGAGGATGAAGAGGACGCCAACAGCTATGACTCTGACGATGCCAGTAAGATGCTAATTTGCACTGACATATGGACATGTTTATACCCCATGGGAACCACACAGAACAAAATGGGTTACCGTGCAAGTCTTGCATCACAGATTGCGTAAAATCAGCAGACGTGCGCTTGAGACGGCGTTGAAGTGAGACTGTTATTCTTCGGTGTCAGCTTTTTTCATGCTTTTCACACGATGTTGTCCACTTTCCAGCCACTCTGGGCATGTTGGAGTTCAGTCTGCTCTACGAGGAGGAGAAAAACGAACTGCACTGCAATGTAATCAAAGCAAAGGTATTGTCTTTCTTCCCTAGAACAGGCAGTTTCGATGCAATCTATTTCTGCACTGGAAAAACGTTTCTGAAGGATCATGTAGAACTGCTAACCATGCAATTATTTCATCTTTGAAGGGTCTCAAGCCCATGGACTCCAATGGCTTGGCTGATCCTTATGTGAAACTGCACTTGCTTCCAGGAGCCAGTAAGGTACCAGTGATCTTTAAAAGAAATCCTGCTAATGGTAACAACAGCTGTGCAAGTTGTTGTAGAAATTGTCACAAAGCGTAATGAATGCATGATATTTTGTCGATTTCTCAGTCTAACAAGCTAAGAACAAAGACCATTCGTACTACCTTGAACCCTGTGTGGAACGAGACCCTTGTTTATCATGGCATCACTAATGAAGACATGCAGAAAAAGACTCTCAGGTAAAACAAGCTTTACTGTATTTAATGCACCGAAGCTTTCAGAGGTAAATGTGAATGGGCAACATAATGCTAATTGTTTACAATTCTCCTTCCTCAGTCATTTGCATGATGGAATGAGCTGACTGTTGCATTTTCTTCCATTGCATTTGCAACTTAAAGATTCTTGGAAAGCCTCACTGATGTGTTCGGTTAGAATAGTTTGCAGTGGACTTAATTAAAGCCGTGACATTTCCCAGAGTGGAAAGGGTCAGCATCCGCATTGTTCCCTGGCAGGCTTTCAGTCAGTGATGAGGACAAGTTCGGCCATAATGAGTTTATCGGCGAGACGCGGGTGGTCTTGAAAAAACTGAAGCTGAACCAGAAGAAGACCTTCAATGTGTGTCTTGAGAGAGCGATTCCGGTAAGATGAAGGGGACAGTAAACTGTTTTGTAGAAAGTTTACTGTAATGGGGTCATTCCTACAGTTTAGGGTAAATTCTGGACTGAGCAGGTTTGTTGAAAAAAATGCTTAAAATTTCATTTATCTTTTAGTCTTATAGTGAGAAAATGTAGTTTAACCTAGTAATCCTAACCAAATATTTTACATTTGGTTTAGGAAATTTGTCCTATTGACAATTTATCAATGCAATGTGCGTTTTAATGCTTCAATGCTTTAAGCTCAAGAAGCTCATGAGTCTGTTTCTTCACCAATGGATGCTCTGCAGTGAATGGGTGCCGTCAGAATGAGAGTCTAAACAGCTGATAAAAACATCACAATAATCCACACCACTCCAGTCTTCAAAACGTTGCTTCTGGCTAAACTGAGTCCTCTATCCATAATAGCGCTTTCTTAAGAGAAAAAGTTGTCTCGTCTTAATCAGGAGAGAAATATGCCACAGATCAAGCACCATTTACAAGTCTAAAACAGTTCTAAAACAAATATGTTGGTGGATTTTAATGTGAGAGGACAACGGGGGATGGACTTTTTCACTGGAGGAAGCATTATTATGGATTATGGACTTTGGATTTTGGCAAGACACAACGATTTGAAGTTAAAACGTCGTAATGATGGATTTGATTCATACAAACATGACGTTAATTGATAGACTGGAGTGGTGTGGATTATTGTGATGTTTTTATCAGCTGCTTGGATTCTCATTCTGATGGCACCCATTCACTGCAGAGGATCCATTGGTGAGTTATGTCAAAGAGAACAAGTAAATGTATATACTAATATTTAAAATAGCTAATTTACAAATATATGTTACCTTTATTTCAATATGAAGCTGAGAAAACATGGGAATTTGTGGGGTACATGTATGCATAGAAAACCATGTGGCATAAAAGATGATTACCATTTCATGTAAAATATGCAGTGTTGTTTCATGGGGACATAAAATCCACCAAACTGTAGGAATGACCCAATTTGACTTTGCAGTGTAGTAAACTAACTGTGTTTAACACCTGGTACGCAGGTGAGACGTACTGCTGGCGCAGGTGCATCTCGTGGCATGGCGCTCTATGAGGAGGAGGTAACTGCGTCATACATTTTGAGAATTAAATATGAAATTAAATACTTACAACACTGAAGTATTCCCAAGAAAGCATAGTAGCTGGTAGCTGTCGAGTCAGGCATTTAACCTCCGTGTCTCCTTGTTGAACTGCATCTGTACACCTGTGTGCATTACAAGTCACTTTGGTTAAATGGTTCAGCTAATGATTGATCTGTTAATTAGTGTCCACAGAAAGATATATGGGTTTACTCATCTTTTGTGTGGCTTTTTTTTCCAGTTGAAGGACGATGAAGAGGCAGAGGAGAGGGGACGTATCCTGATTTCTCTCACCTACAACAGCCAGCAGAGTCGTCTGATTGTGGGTGTAGTTCGATGTGTTCATCTGGCAGCAATGGACTCGAATGGCTATTCTGACCCCTTTGTAAAGATGCAAGTATACAACAATATAATAAAAAGCACCAAAAGCACTTCTCAAAGTGTAATTAAAATGTTCTCTGGAAGAAGAATCATTCGCTTGGTGAAATTGCTTTGTGACAGTCATTAGGCTTATTTAACATGCTGTGTGCTTTTGTGTCTCTGAATTTCCATGCTGTTTTGCAGTTACTTGAAGCCCGACATGGGAAAGAAAGCAAAGTATAAAACTCAGATCAAGAAGAAGACCCTTAACCCTGAGTTTAATGAGGTACTCTTTCTTTCTCTCTCTGGCGATATGACCTGCAGTGAGCGTCTTGACACGCTCGACACTGACGTGACACCATGACAGTGCTTTAATACGCTCTGACACTATAATGAAAGGAAGTTTTTTTTTGGCATATATCTTCACACGTCGATTAACCGGTGGGAAAATGTCCTCACCGTCACAACCCTAATATCTTAAGAAATAGACCTGTCATGTTTTTTTTTTTTTGTGTGTGTGATTTCAGGAGTTCAGCTATGAAATCAAGCATGCTGAACTGGCGAAGAAGACTTTGGATGTCTCTGTCTGGGATTATGACATGGGAAAATCTAATGATTTTATAGGTGAGAAATATATATACAGGTGCATCTCAGTTCTCAGTTCATTTATTTCAGTAATTCAACTCAAATTGTGAAACTCGTGTATGTCAATGATTGTCTTCTGGACAACTGTCAGATCAGCAGTCTTCCCCATGATTGTGTAGCCTAGTGAACCAAACTGAGAGACCATTTTGAAGGCTCAGGAAACCTTTGCAGGTGTTTTGAGTTGATTAGCTGATTGGCATGTCACCATATTCTAATTTGTTGAGATAGTGAATTGGTGGGTTTTTGTTAAATGTGAGCCAAAATCATCACAATTAAAAGAACCAAAGACTTAAACTACTTCAGTCTGTGTGCATTGAATTTATTTAATACACGAGTTTCACAATTTGAGTTGAATTACTGAAATAAATGAACTTTTCCACGACATTCTAATTTATTGAGATGCACCTGTACATGACAAAAAAAGTATTAATTTAAATGGATAGTTCACCCAAAAATGAACATTTGCTAGAATTTACTCACCCATTCAAAATTTAGAAAAGACATCAGAACAGATTTGGAGAAATGTAGCGTTACATCACTTGCTCACTAATGGATCCTCTGCAGTGAATGGGTGCCGTCAGAATGAGAGTCCAAACAGCTGATAAAAACATCACAATAATCCAAAATAATCCACACCACTCCAGTCCACCAATTAATGTCTTGTGAAGACAAAAGCTGCGTGTTTGTAAGAAACAAATCCATCATTAAGATGTTTTTAACTTCAAATTTGTGCTTCAGGCCAAAATACGAGTCCTCTATCTAGTCGTCTCGTCTGAATCAGGAGATAAATATGCACACATCAAACACCATTTACAAGTCAACACAGTCCAAAACAGCTCTAAACAAATATGTGGGTGGAGTTTGATGTGGAAGGACAAAATGGAGTTTTTCACTGGAGGAAGTGTTATTATAGATTATGAGAATTTTGACTAGAAGTGACAATTTGTTAAAACACTGTAATGATGGATTTGTTTCTCACAAACATGCAGCTTTTCACTTAACAAAATGTTAATTGATGGACTGGAGTGGTGTGGATTACTTGTGGATTATTGTGATGTTTTTATCAGCTGTTTGGACTCTCATTCTGATGGCACCCATTCACTGCAGAGCATCCATTGGTGAGCAAGTGATGGAATGCTACATTTCTCCAAATCTGTTCTCATGAAGAAACTAAGGGTGAATACGTTTTCAGCAAATTTTCATTTTTAGGTGAACTGTTCATTTAAGCTTTTCATGTCTCTTTTCCACACAGGTGGCTGCCAGCTTGGTATCACCGCTAAAGGCGAAAGTCTGAAGCACTGGTATGAATGTCTCAAGAACAACGACAAGAAGATCGAACGCTGGCATGTTCTGTTGAATCAAAACAACGTTGAGGCGGATGACTGAGGTGTTTATCTCCAAAGATGACCGTATACGGTTCCATCTTCCAAAAAAGTAATCTCGCTTACAAGCTCGAACTGCTGATAATGTTTTCTTTTCATTCAGAAAAAAAAGCCTTTGTCTTTGCCTCTCCTGAAACCCTGTGAATGTTCTGTTGAATCAAAACAACGTTGAGGCGGATGACTGAGGTGTTTATCTCCAAAGATGACCGTATACGGTTCCATCTTCCAAAAAAGTAATCTCGCTTACAAGCTCGAACTGCTGATAATGTTTTCTTTTCATTCAGAAAAAAAAAGCCTTTGTCTTTGCCTCTCCTGAAACCCTGTGATGAGCTATAGTGGTCCAACCGAGAAAAACCTAGAAAACCCAGTTACTTTGTTTTTTGGTGGGAAAAAGACAGTGTATGATATTTTTACACTCAGTAAATGCCTTAAAGAACAAAACCTCATGAATACAGATTCAATGACGCAAATATATTAGTCATCAAACCCTGTAACCACATATACTCAAGGACATCGGGAAAATGGACTTTACTCATGTTAAACCAGTTCAATGCACAATACAATACCATTTGTTTGGCATTAGAAATATACGCTGCCCTTGCATATGTCTATTATTGATTTATGTTTGTTTCAATCAGTATGTCACAGATGAGAAAGACTGTGTAAAACAAATTGTGACTATAAAGTTTAGAAAAGTATTAGAGTTATATCCAGTAAATGACAGGTTGTTGAAGTTCAATATTGCATCAACTACATATGGAAATGTCCTGTTGTTATGTGCATGGAATTCATGGATGTGTTCCCTAATTATACGTTATTATCATTAAGTTTGAATTTGTTTCTGTAACATGTTTACAAGTGTTGTTAATACCCAATAAAGTGTTCTCAGCTATTGCCTCTGAATCAGTGACGTGAACTGCTTATGTATTTTTCTAGAACTGGAACAAAGGTCATCAGGTGAACTCTATACGTCTCTGGTTCGAGGTGTCATGCGAAGGCTGGCTTTTTGGTGTTGTGTCTAATGTTTGTATACTATCTCTTAAGGTCATGTTCTTTAAAATCATTCCCAAAGCTTTGACCTTCGAACAGTGCCGAGGAATTAGACTCCCCTGGGTCTTTCATCTATTGCCATCATGTTTACTTACATCATTATGTAAGAGATTAACCCAATGTTCCCTACAAGTTGCCAAGACACTACTTTGCTTTTTTTTTTCTGATTAGACCTACATGTTTGTATTTTCGTTTAGCTATTTCATTTAGAAAAGTATGTTGAAATCGTAGTGGCACCAAAATGAATCGCAAAAATATTGACTAATTTCAAACTTATATTACTGATTTTATTGCCGTGAAGTCAATGGGGTTTTTAATGGGGTATTTGGTTAAATGCCTTAAATAAGATCTGTGGTCTTGAACACAACACGCTTTAGATATTTTCATGTTTTATTCCAAGCTTTTGCTAGTCATGAGAAAGGCCGTTGCTAACCAGAGTCTATAAATGCATTAAACATCTACAAGCCAAACAGGTAAACTCATCTACTCGCTAGTCTGCTTTTATACCTTTAATCACGCTCTTGCAAACTATTCAATGCAAACTTTAAGGACAATTTTCATTTAAATGAAGACAGAGTTGCCGGAAGCTTCATGGTGGTGACGCTGAAGTCATAACTGTGGTGTAGTTCATTTATAGCCCACGTTTAGCTTCTGGCAACTGTATTTATGCTTCAAAAAACAGAGAATGTTATGTTAATTTGTGAAGACTACCTTGTTGAACAACACTTGTAAGAATCATAAACTTTTGTTCATTACAGAGCTTATTTTGTGCAATAATCCAAAAGCCAATGGAAAAATCCTATTCGAAATATCCAGCTGGTACGCCATCACTGAAGCACCGTATAAGGCCATTTCTATGACAAAAAAACCTACATTTCCTGTAAGTAGGGTGGTTTACCTGAAAATGTAAACATTGACAGTCTATCACACTATCAGAACAATATTCTGTTTGTTTAAACCTCTTGGTTGGTTGATACGGCAACGTAGGCGCGTTTCCATTACAGATTTGCGCAAAACTTTGGTGATATTTTATAAATGTCGATAAAAAAGTATTGCGAAATAACGGCGTTTCCATTAACCAATGTTATGCGACTAAAACGTAACCTTTTACCTCTCGCGATAAGTCGTGGCAACGGATTTTGGCTATATTTATTAAAAGGAGGCGTATGTGTGTATCTTTATAGAAGCAGCACAGAGAGCCGCTTCAGAAACGTGCGTGGCGCAGCTGGAATAATCACAAGCATTGCTAGTGGCTGCAATCAGCTTCAGTGGCCGTATCAGAACCACACTGCACCGCAGACGTGTGCAGTGTAAATTATCTAAGCATTAACATTAGGGAAAGCCCCCTTATACTGGAGAGCCGCCACGTATGAAGTGGCTAAATGACTAAATGTAAATGTAAATGTAAATGTGGCCACGTATGATGTGTTTCTTGGAGGTTATAGTACATTGAAGAATGATCATATGACTTTTTACATACACCATGTGACCTGTAAATGCGAGAAAAAAAAAAACATTTCCATTGCAGTTTTGCAAATTATTCCTTTTTCGCATTGCCTGAAAAACCACCTCATGCAAGCGTAAAAACGTTTTTGCGATATATGGGCGTTTTTGCGAAATTGATTTGTTTCCATTAGGCATATTTTCAATTCGCAACTTCAATTTGCGCAATTTGAAGGGTAATGGAAACGCGCCTAATGACTCAGCCAGTGGTGTAAGTTTGGGGGCAGAGCTATCTGTTTGTCTGACCAGTGGCAGTGTTTGGGAAACCTGTTGGTAAAACATAATTTTTTCAATTCTTGTTGAGGGCACCAACGGTGCAGAAATAACACACATCACTTTCAATAACGTAAAAATACCCTCACTCAACATATTATGCTAACTCGTTTCTCATTTTCAGAATGAGTCTATTTTGTGTCTTTCTAAAGGCTGTTTTGAATGAATATCCATTACCCTGCACCGAAGAAAGAAAAAAGCACATTCAAAAATTCCAGCTCACCGGGGTTTTGACTGTAATGGCGTAATTGCAATTATTCCAAATTGAGCTAACAGCCAGTGTAAGTATTCCTCTGAGAGCATTCTACCTTTTAGTAAAGTAATTGCTGAAAGAAAATGTTTTTAACTTGATAGCGATCTTGTAATTTTCTTCAGTTTCCTCGAGCTTGTGTTTTTCCTCATTTGACGGATGCTGGAATTACATTTACCGGTGGAAGTACCAGCAATAAAAGTGCTGTAATGGTTAACGGATTAGGGCCGCATCCAATGGTGACAGGGCAGAAACTTTGTGCGAATCAGGCGAGCTCTGCGCCAATCAGCGCGGGCGGACACGTACAACAAACTCGTGTGACCTTTGCATCCTCATGTAAACACTCGCCAAGTCCCAGATAAAAATTGCCATATAATTTGGCCAGTTGGCTGGTAACTTTGTTAGGAACTGAAAGACAATACATGATTTAAAATGCAATATTAATCTGAAACTCACTGACATGAGCAATTCAAATTGACACACAGACCATCTACTGAAGAGAAACTTTATCAAAGTGGAAAATGTGATATCAAATTTATACAGCATGGCTGAAGTAATTATTATATATATTTTTTTAACTTGATGTTCTAACATGTGAAATATTCTGGACATTAAGTCAGCAGAATGAAAAAAATAAGGGACCAAAACTATTTATTTCTTTACGATTTTGTGACAGCTGCAGTTTAACCGAGAGAAAGGAATTGCCTGTAAGGAATATGTTAGTTATTAATATGCAATAAAAAATCCAACTAATTAATTATTTTAGATTTTATTTAAATGCAAAATATGGTTTGTGGCTAGTAATAAATATTTAAGACTGCTAAAAAAAAATGCAATTTATATGCAGACAGCATGCTAAATAAATAAGCACTTAATGATTTTTAATAAAACTTTAATATAGTAATGCACAGAATGCAAATGCTGACCTAATTTAACCTGAACACATAAATGTAATGGTTTTGGATCGCATGTTTCTTTCTCCTCCCACGTGGAGTTTGAATCTTTTTGTCATGTTGTAAAAAATCATTTCATCATGAGTAATGATATATTAAATGTTTACTGCTGAGGGCATTGTTGACACTAATAAAAAATGATAGTGATCAGCCAGAGAGATAATTATACTCATGTGAACCCAGGAAACAGGGAGGGTTTATGATCTGATTTACATCTTTTATGTACATGTGTATGCAGACATCTGTGCTTCCAAGTCTGTATTTACCAAAGACACACCCCCTTGTGTCATCCCACCCCGTCTGCTCTGATGTGGCCATGAGCCACGATGCAAGGAAGATCCCACATATGGAGTATAAATAAGGCGGGGTTGAGGCACGCTCTTTGCCAGAGATGAGGGGTTAAAAACCCAGTTACCCTGTAGCACCTCTGGCTATTCATTCATTCATTCTAAAAATACACAAAATTGCTGTACAATTATTAATTTTGCCATAAAAATGCAAAGCAAACACCTTTTACAGGCAGTTCTGTACCTTTTCATGCTGTTTCATGCTTGTTTCAGTGCTGATAAGTTCTGCATTTGGACTAGATCCGCTTCAGATGGGCAAACACGGTATGCATTTCTCCGAAGGACTCAGACGTCTCTTCTCTTGTATGACAGCATCTGGAACAAAAACAACAGCCTTTTTAGCTGCTTAACAAGTGATGAGCAATCTGTGATTGAGAGTTACCTGTCCAGGTGCTGGGAAGACAGTTCTTTCTCAAAGACCCTTGATGAACGCTTTGACATCAGGGAGCTGATTGAACCTCACGGCCCCTGTGAGGCTGCAGGCATTACGGAGGAATTTACAGCATCTGTACGGAGGGCCAGGGACCTGAGGAGCGTTGAGTCTGATGGATTTGAGCGCCAGGACAGTGGAGAAAGTTCCAGACAGACGCTGCACCGCTCAAAGCGAGCATGGATGATTCCAGGGACTCTGTGGTGTGGCTCAGGAAATAAGGCTATGGCCTTTGTTGACCTGGGTAAGTAGGATTATATCAATCAATCAATTTATCAACATTTTAATTTTATTATTTCTAATTGCAAATATTTCGATTTATATATAATTATAAATAATATAAAAATATATAATATTTTAAAATATTAATATAAATATTTTTTTCTAAAATTCTCATAATTTAATTTGTACTGTTTTCTTTTAAATTAGATAAAATATAAATAGAAGCATTTTCACAAGTGGCCCCAAACTTTTGAACCCCAGTGTATATTAAACTAAAATTAAATTTAAGATAAAAATATTTACATTAAGGTAAGTTGCAAATTAAACTGGTTAATTTAATTGAATTTGAGAGAGAAAAAAAAAAAGGAAAAATCCTTACCTGTTCACTTGTCTTCTGCAGGTGTCTTTGAAGATACGGATAAATGCTGCAGAGAACACGACCACTGTAAAGACACCATCGCCTCTTTTTCATACGACCACGGTGTCTTCAACACGAACATCTTCACTTTATCACACTGTGACTGTGACAACAGGTATGTCCTGCTTTATTCATTAGAGCGGGAAATGTTGAGACTACCAGCACTGAACATTCATTCCATAGTGTTCAGTTGAGTAACATGAGACATGTCCAACATAACCAGAGAGTTATTTCACTGAGCGAGCGTCTCGGATTACTGTATCTTATGACATTGTAATCAGGTCTTGTGATATCAATTCAGGTTCCGCCGCTGTCTCCTGGGTGTTAATAATACTATGTCCAACCTTGTGGGCTACGGATACTTCAACGTGCTAAAGATGCGCTGCTTTGAGTTCTCTCAGCAGATGCAGTGCGCCAAGAGAACGTGGTGGGGCATGTATGTATTCGGTTTCATTTGACTCAGCACTTTTCTGTTGCGAAACATTCTCACTTTTCATAAAATAAAAGCAATGATGAAGGTAAAACAAGACTTTTAACACTCAAAATTATTTAAACCAAAAGCCTGGCATGTTAGAGTGATTTCTACACTACTGTTCAAAAGTTCTATACTACTGTTCTTGAAAAAAATTATCTTATGCTCACCAAGGCTGCATTTATTTGATCAAAAATGCAGGAAAATTGTTAAATATTATTACAATTTAAAATAACTCTTTTCTATTTGAATACATATTAAAATATAATTTACTACTCCAGTCTTCAGTGTCACATGATTCTTCAGAAATCATTCTAATATGCTGATTTGCTGCTCAAGAAACATTTCTGATTATTATCAATGTTGAAAAGAGTTGTGCTGCTTCATATTTTTGTGCAAACAGTGATATACTGTATTTTATTCCAGGATTTACTGATGAATAGAAAATCCAAAAGAACAGTATTTATTCAAAATTGAATCTTTTGTAACATTATAAATGATTTCACTGTCAATTTTGATCACTGTAATGCATCCTTGCTGAATAAAAGTATTCATTTCTTTAAAAAAAATGGTTGGATGTATGCACACACCTCAAATAATAAAAAATAAATAAAAACAAAAAAGCAAAACAATATATAATTTTATTTTATACAATTGAATTTTAGGTTAAAATATTCAAAAGGTTTAAAATCTTTCAATGTCAGACACAAAACAAGCAAAAACCTTGTTGAACTTTGGAAATGGTTCTCTCTGAAAACTTGGCATTTTAGTGTGATTTGTACATACTGTAATCTCTGAGCACATAATGTTGTGCACACAGTCACAGAACCTTGTCTTTCTCATTGGCAGGTGTGCAATTTATGAACTTGCTCAATACGCTGTGGTGAAAGATGGAGCAAACTACACCGACACACTCCCTGAACAAGACATGGAGATGCTGGAAACGAGTTTTCACCAAGCGATCACTCTGGGACAAAACCAGGTCACCAAAAACACAGAAGAATCACTTACTATACAAGATTCCAGGAGCAACAGTGAAGAACCGAGTCCAGTTTCGACATCCCCAGAGCCATCTGTTACAACACTGCAGTCCCGCAAATCTGAAGCTTCCGTTCTTCCAACAGACGCACCAAAGATAACAGACAGACCACAAAAAGGTGAGCTAAATATTACTCATATCAGATCTGTTGTAAACTGACCAAATTGGGAATCTTGTAAAAACTTTTTTTTTTGGTTTCATAGGCAAGTTTGAGATGTGTGAGCTCTACAGAGACCTGGATTCATGCCATCTACAGATCCCTGCTTTACAGGAGAAATTCGGTCTACAAAACCCTGGCATGAGAACCCTTTACCACTGTAACTGTACTGCCAGGTGAATATACATTCAATACAGTATATCCACCCAGATTCCAATGATACCAACACCATCTCTCTACTAGGGATGCGCAAACATTTCACTCAAAAATGAAAATTCACTTAAAATTTGCTCACCTTCGGGCCATCCAAGATGAAGATGAGTTTGTTTCTTCATCAGATTTGAAGAAATGTAGCATTCCATCACTTGCTCACCAATGGATGCTCTGCAGTGAATGGGTGCCGTCAGAATGAGAGTCCAAACAGCTGATAAAAACATCACAATAATCCACAAGTAATCCACACCACTTCTGTCCATCAGTTAATGTCTTGTGAAGTGAAAAGCTGCATGTTTGTAAGAAACAAATCCATCATTGAGACATTTTAACTTCAAATGAGTCTTTTATTCATAATATTACTTTCTCTAGTGGAAAAGTCATCAGGGGCCGGTTGCACCAGCGAGACGTAAAAACGCTGGGTGTA